GATCTCTCTTTGTGAGTAACATTTAGGATTATGTGTTTATCTGCTGCTGATGGTACATCAGAACATGAGACTGTGGGAAATCTGTCTGTGTACAACTTACAAACTTTAGTTTGATTTTACAAACTGTCTCTACCCTGTGGCAGGGTCAGTTCCACTCCTGGGTCCCAGATCCCTAGTCAGTCTACTATCCCACAGTCTAGGTCTTGCGGACTGGGCTACACCTGCGTTTGCCAGGGTTGGGCTTCAGTTCTCCTGCTAAAAGGGTGTGGAGCAACTGGGGCTGGGCGACCAGTCCTCCCCAGCTGCCGGTTGGAGTTTCAGGCTACTGGGTGAAGGGAGCCCAAACACTTCCTGTCAGAGCCCCTCACCTTCCCCTATGGTCTCTGGCAATGCTGATGTTGACTCTCTCAGCTTCTCTGACTCTCCTTATCATTTACAAGTTCCTCTCCACTCTCCAAACTCCTCTTCCACTCTCTTCCCCGCCCCTCAGTAGGGAAGGCTTTTTAAAAAGCCCCGTGGCTCCCTGAAGTCAAATCACCTGGCCCTTAAATCGATTTATAGCAGCCCCACCCCAGCTGCTTCCATTCTGCCCTTAATAGCCTCAGGTTAGCTGCTCCTGGCTGCCCTGAAGTAACCCTCTCTCTCATCTAGCCCTCTAACCTGCCCTGTCACAATCCTTATACCTTATGACTATCTTTTACCGGGTTCTGCCTCATACTTTCTGTACTACGAAAATGGAGGGGGCATGGTCAACACCAACCACCGAGTAAGCCAAATCTGGAGCATCAGATTCTGCACAGTTCTTATATAAGAAAAACAAAAGAATAATTCCATCCAAGAATAGACCAGTTTTCTTTAACTTCTCTGCAGGAGTTTGGGTTTGAAGAGTGAAAATCCCCAAACAGGAGGACAAATAAACAAGTTATTGATGCCAGCCTTTAAAATCATGGAGAATCAGACACACAGCTTTGGCAAGTGAGGAAGAGAGATACAGGATTTCATAGCAAGTGTAGTTGTTCAGGACAGTGCTATAGTAAATTCAGGATTCACTCGTGTGGCATCTTGACAGATCTCCTGGAAGGCTTACCAGATCAGCAGTCAGGATCACCAATGTAGTTCAGGACAATGATGCAGTAAATTCAGAATACACTGGTGTGGCATACTGTTAGATCTCCTGCTCTGTCAGTGATGATAAACGTTCAGCTGCATATGTTTTCGTATGCTCCCTCAGTAAATTGTGCCAGCTCTGTTCAGGTAGCTAGCATAACAAACTTTACAAAAGTCCCCAAAGACCACAGACTCAAATACAAAGGCACCCGAGTGAGGTTTACTGTCAAAGTACATTAACAGTCATCGGTAGCCAAATAGCCTCTGAGCCCCATGCGTTTGTACTCGTGACAATGGACTCAATCAATAGTATGGGTTTACTACTGCTCCCCTAGGCTGGCCAAAGTGTTAACTCTAATTGCCTCAACATTTACAGGCAAAAACAAACAATCTATAATACACACCTTACATATCATCTGACACATTAATGACACATTTGGTAACTCCCTTTGTATTTTCCTCCAACGCATTCACTACCCATTGTTATGCTTTCACCCTTAGTATTTCAAACTATTTTATCATGTACTTTTATGGAGGTCCTTGTACTGTCCTGGTGGAATGTATTTACATATTTCATGTGCTTTTATCAGCACTAGCAGGTCTAGTGCCGAAAAACACTGACTTGCAGTCAAACACCTACTTTTGACACAGCTTGTCTATTACTCATAGTATAACTTTTGCTTACTCTGGTTCAAGATTAAACTGACTGTTCCTTCCTAAGCAGCTTACTTTGCATTCATCCTTATTAAACTTCATCCTATTTATCTCAGATCATTTCTCTAGTTTGTCCAGATCATTTTGAATTTTGCCCCTATTCTCCAAAGCACTTGCAACTCCTCCCACCTTGGTATCAACTGCAGACTTAATAATCATACTCTCTATGCCATCATCTAAATCACTGATGAAGATATTGAACAGAAACAATCCCAAAACAGACCCCTGCGGAACCCCACTTGTTATGCCCTTCCGTCATGATTGTGAATCATTAATAATTACTCTCTGGATAATGGTTCTCATAAAACTACTATGTTTTATCATAGCAGAGGTTTTCATTCATTCATAATATATTTATTTGATTCTTCACTGCAAAGTTATCACCAGCCTTCCAGCATCTCTTAATTACATTCAGGATAAACTTCTCTGTTAACTCTATTTACTAAGAAAAGAGATTTGCATAAAGCACATTAGTTACAAGTTCTGATACACAAGCACTGGTATCTTGAAAACTGAAAATGTACTGCATTTATTTTTTAAGAACCTTCAGTTAATTATTGAAAATATTTTCTTTCTCTGGGCACTGAAAATTCTATTATTTGCTCTTTTACCACCATAATCTATTTTGCTTAGGCAACTTGTATTAAATAATTAAAATGTTCACTGGTATTCATCTCACCAGTGCAAAGAGCTAGAAACCAAGAATGCTCTATCCATATTTTTGATATATTGTTTAAAAGTTAGATGGTGGTACTTAACACGGATTATTTTAAATACTGGAGGAAATGAGCATCTCTTTTCTTGTTGTATCACTCAGATTTTTACATTATATAAAAATAGTATTGTATGACTTAGTAAATATCTTTATTAAAAAACATGGACTATTAATTTCACTCATCATCAATGACATGATAATCATGATAAATTGTTAACAGCGGTGCTAAAGAACTCTCACTAGTTAAATGGAATACAACAGAAACAGAAGTAAAAATATATATATATTTTAAATACACTATAGCAGTGGTCACCAACCAGTAGATAGGGATTTACCAGTAGATCTTGGAGACTCTGACAGGTGATCCTAACTGGTTTGGGCAGGAAGCTATCAAGCACTGGCACTTCAGTTGCCCCTCCACCCACTGTCATCCTGCTCCTACCCTCTGCCTTGGAACTGCCCCCCTGGGAGCCTTGCTGTGCAGGGTGTGGGAGGGAGAAGAGGGGGAATGCTGATGTCAGAGTGTCCCTCCTCCCCCCACTTCTGTACCTAACTCCACACAGAGAGCCTACCTTAACCCCACTGTTCCACCATCCGGAAGCCATCTCAGTTAAACGGTGCCTAGCCAGAGCCTGCTTCCTGAACCCCTGTCCCAGCCCTGAAACTCCTCCTACACCCCCAACTTCCTGCCCCAGATGTGAGTCCCCCTGCACTCAAACTCATTCTGAGAGCTTGCACCCTGAAACCTCTCCTGAATCTCAATTCCCCACCTCGGGCTAAGCCTGGAGCTCTTCCCACACTCCAAACCCCTTGGCTCAAGAACAGAGCCTGCAACCCCAACCTCCTACCCAGCCTGGTGAAAGTGAGTGAGGATGGAGGGAAGAAAGGAGATGGAGTGAGCAGGGGAAGACCTCGGAGAAGAGGTGGTGTAGAAGCAGGGCCTCAAAGAAGAGGTGGGAAGGAATGGGGCAAGGGTATTTGGGTAGATTTTACATTGCACTTAAACTGAAAAAGTAATCTTGTGGTTGAAAAGGTTGGAGATCACAGCACTATAGTGCATTGTTAAGTTATAAGTTATATTTTAATAAGGAAATTATTACTACTACTTAAATTTCCCTCTATTGTTATAATTAGTACAGCACCACTCATGGGAACAACGGAGAAAGCACTATTGTAGGTTGCCCATCTGTGTTTTAACCATCCTCCTATCTAGCCCTGTTTGAAAAAGAGTTGAACAACATGGCTGCTAAAAACCAGTCAGCAGTAGCCTGTCTCCATCAGCACTTGTATTATTGCTACCACAATAGTGGTAAATTTAATGCTATGAAATTTAGTTAAAAAAGGTGTTACAGAAAGAGATTAGTGATCTCCAAAAAGTGTCTAAAAAGGACCAAAATTCATAGCAGTTTTCATGAATACATAAAAACAATAGTATAATTATATAATTGAAAATCATATTGATTTTACAATATCAAAGAACACGGATAAAATATATAAAATATATATCCCACATAATATGAAGTTCAATGTGTGTGCATCATCAATTGCAAGTTGTAGAACATGAAAGCTTATGCTCTAATAACCTAATAAATGTGTTAGTCTTTAAAGTGCTGCATAGTCCTGTCTTTTGTTTCAACCAGACTCCTTGTTATCTTTAACTTGGACATTAATACAATGTAGTTAATAGAAAAGATATGATAAAATGATTTTTGGAGTACAAGCATAATTAACTCAAAATACCCACTGAAAATATTAAAAAATTCTTCAAATAGTCAACAAATAGCATCATACCATAACTATTGTTATCTGTTTCTGCCAATCAGTATTGTTATGGTTCTACAAAGACTCCAGTGCACCAGACTGTTGCTAATTATGTATATTCAAGTGATTAGCAAGCACTTGTTGCCTCGTTCACACCACCTTCCAAACAGCAGCCTTTGAGAGGAGAATAGACTGCAAATTTATTGAGAGAACACTGTTAATCCTTTGGGGAGAATGTAAATGTAAACAGGACTACTCTACATCAAGGTGCTTTGACAACAACAATCATCTGCATAAACACATGCTCAACAACAAACAGGTGTTCTATTTCACAACTAGCACCGATTTGATGCTTTCAAGTAAGCATTATGCACAAACTGTTAGAAGTACTTTGAAACCAGCTGCAATTACTATAATTAGCTGTTTTCCTATACTTTGTTTCCCCTCCCCCCTCCTACCTGTTCAGTATTGTTTGTGCTGGCTGCAATCTGTATTCTCAAAATAAAACCAAGGTTCCAACCTCCTCCTTCCCCTCCTCCCCCCCGCTTTTTTTTGAGACTACAATCCTCAGCAAGTTCATACCAGTAAAGCATCACCTGTAGTAACAAGATGCTTTTTTTATGAAATGGTTTAACAGTCCTATCGGTGTCATTTCACAAGTACGACACTCATTGTCATGAACAGGAAAACAAGGACCACTTACTATTTTTATAGTGTTATCATTTTGCAAGCTTTTGGTGGTCAGGATTTCCTTTTATATCACCAGTAATCTGCCCTGGAAATGAAAAGACAAAGCATTTTTTTTAAATAAAAAGTGCCTCACACTCAGTGTTATCAGAAAAGGGGTTGAAGAATCTTAGAATCATAGGGTTAAAAGGAACCACAGTTTTCTAACTCCAGTGGCCCTCAATCTTTCCAGACTCCTTTACCCATTTCAAGAGTCTGATTTGTCTTGCATACATACCGCAAAGTTTCACCTCACTTAAAAACTACCTGCTTACAAAATCAGACAAGTGTCACAGGACACTATTACTGAAAAATTGGTCACTCATTTTACCATATAATTATAAAATAAATTAATTGGAATATAAATATTATACTTACATTTCAGTTTATAGTATATAGAGCAGTAGAATCAAGTCATTGTCTATTAGGGATGGAAATGGGTAAGCCGTTACCAGCACCTGGCCAGGCCGTGCTGCAGATGGGGAACTGGCAGCTGGCAGCTGAGCCATGGTTAACCGTGTAACCAATAGAATTTTTATCGGTTACACAGTTAATATTTTTATATATTTTCTACATCCCTATTGTCTGTATCAAATTGTAGTTGGTACTGACTTCGCTAGTGCTTTCCCATAGCCTATTGTAAAACTAGGCAAATATATAGATGAGTTGAGGTATCCCCTGAAAGACTTCTGCATGCTCCAGGTGTATGTGTGCTCCTGGTTAAGAACCATTGATCTAGTCTAACAAGGGTCATACCTACGGGGATGCATGACCCAGGGCAAATCACCTGTATGAGAACCTCCCTCCCAATATTTTTTATACAGGAGCAATCTGGCTACAGTGAACTTTAATACCCAACTATATAATTATAATAGTTATATTGTAGCTCTGGTTTATAATTGTAATAAAGTTCATATAATTAATAAAACCTGACTGATCACGATCAGTGTCACACCATCTACATTCTGAAATCCACCTTCCTGGACTTCCTTGTAGTGAACTCTGCTACCAGATCATGGTAATCCAGATTTGATACTACTTCCTTCTCAACAGACAGAATGGTAAATCCCCCAAGCCTCTTGAAACAGAGCTGGCTGTAGGTAGTTCTTAATTATTTTTAATTTGGAAAAACTGCACTCCACTGAAGCCACTGTGAGTAAGATTGTCAGCAAAATCCTGGATGCTATTGCTGAGTTTGGGTAGGCACTGTCAAGTGATTAAAGAAACTGAAGGACTTGAAGTGAAGTACTTGTGCCCTAAGGGTTGAATTCTCATAGCACCCAAAGTAATATTTTCTCCATTTGTCTCTGTGCCTGCTAGTGCTAGCCATTATATGCTAGATGGGTATATAGGTGTGTTGGAGTGCAGAGCTGGTGTGAACTGGAGCCTCGTAGAGCAGCAGAGTACAGGCATGTAGGGCTGGAGGTACACTGGAAGACTGGGTGATGCTATGTCTTCCTCACCTGAACTCCCAGTTTCTCCCTCCTCCCCTACCATCCATCCCCACTTCCCGGCAACCCCTCCCCCTCTAATTTCTCCACTCCTCTGCTAATACTGGTCCCTGCCCAGGAAGTAGTCACATGCCTAATGCCCCTCACCTCAAAACAGACTACAGTCTCATCACAATCAAATTGCTACCACCCATGATTCACATTGTAGACCCCTACAGGCACCTATTGCAAACTTCTTTTGTCTAATGGGGTTGTGACTGAATCTGTCTGTGATTCATCCAGAGATACCTAGTACCTCACTCTCTGTTTAACAAAACAACTAGGGGGCTGCGCTACCCCCTCGCTCCTCCCCGCTCACTATGCTCGCCAACGCCTCTCTCGCGGGAGCTAGGCAACCCTGGCTCTCCCCCAGCCACTGGGGAGGGCCAGGCTAAAGCCACACCAGCCTGGTTCCCTTCTCCCTCCCCACCCACTGGCAATCTGAATAACTTTTCAAAATTCAGAGCACTTAAGACTAAATTTTAAAATCATAAAATGGGGGGAGTCAGTGAAAACCCACTGCTATTTTTCTGTAATTTGCCAGTCCCTGGTGGGTGGTGGTGGAGTTTTGGGTTAACTAGGTTGTGGTACTGGTGAGAGGAACCCCAAGGCTGGAGCCTGCTGCTGGAGAGCTGAAAAAGCAGGGAGGTCCCTGAGGCAGGGGAACAAGGACTGGCTCCCCTGGCCTGGAAGCAGGCACTCTCACACACCCGGAATTAGTAGAGGGGAGAAAGAGCAGTGGAAGGGAAAAGCGTGGGGTACTGGGAGACATCTTTTTTGGGCTATGGGCAAGAGACCCTGATGAAGACTGGCTGCTGGCACTCACCAGTACAAAGTGGTCCCCTGTACTGGTGGAGAGCCTAAACTAGTTGCGCCCCACTTCTGTCCTACAGACAGGATGGCTCTGAATCTAGCCCCCTGCCCAGATGTGAGATTTATTGCTCTCTATTCCATATCCATGAGGGATGTTAGCCATCATGTATTTTAGTAGTCATGTAGCTACAACAATTTTTAGCAGTTACATAGTTACTAAAATACTCCCTGGGCACTGGGCCGGCAGACAGTGCACGCCCGACTCCACTCCGGAGAAACCCCTGCTACTCCACACTGTTACCTCTATATCAGAGACAGCAGTATGGGGTGGGAGGTGGAGCTAGTCCGCAAGGGGAGCCAGATTAAAAAAAATCAGCTCCCTGTGCACACCGGCTCACCTCTGCCATGCTACAACGCTGCCTCTGATACACAGGCAACAGCAGGGAGCAGCA